TGGAGGACCCACCTCGGGGCTTTGCAAGTCAATCCGAAGTGCAGATACGGATTGAAGAAAGACTTCTGGTTTGGTGCAGTTACAATATATATATATATATTTTTTATTCATCAATCACAAACCCACAAACCAGACAAGATCCATCGCCTGAAAAAAAAAAAAAAACCGTTGAATCAAATTTTAATATCTCTTCGCAATTTCTGGTTCTTACCAAATTAGGAAAGACGAGCGAAAAGTGTCCCGTGCGGATTCATCCTCCCATTCTAGCTCATTCCACCACTGTTTCGCTCCTCTAATGATGATTCTACGCCCCTTTGCGCTGTTGGAGCTAAGTGGAATTTTCCTCAGCTTTGGACAATCACCCACTCTAATTTCAACCAAACATGGGAAGGAAAGTGCAAACCTGTGGATACTCTTCAATTCTGGTAGAGAAGATAAACTCAGATTTTGGAGTTTCTCAAACAAGATAAGATCTCCGGTCATCGCTGCAACTCTACCCTCACCAATTATTTCTTCCATTCTATGGCAGCCATAAACAGTGAGATTTCTCAGATTTGGAGCCCAAATGATCCATGTAATGTCCCTTAAATTTGGGCAGTACTGTATGTCGACCGTCCACAAGTTGTAGAAGCTTCTTTCGCTTGCAATCAGAGAGGTTTGAAAGACATATGGTGTCTGTATCTTTCTTCCTTCCTCTTCCCACTGGATCTTCACTTCTTCCATACTTGTGAATTCCAATGACAGATATTGAAGTCGCTTCATAGGTGGCAAACATAAAGTTTTCTGCGAAAACAAGAAGTCATCCTCCAGTTGATGAATGTATAATCCTTCTGTACAACCCTGTAAGCGGTGAGAGCTTAAGAAACCTTCAAGAGCAGAGTCACTACATATAGTTATTGTTAAGGCATTCAAATATTTCAAGCACTCCAAGCACTCAAATCTGCTGAAGCTGACATTCCCATTTATCGCTCCACCGGGCCAACCACCAGCTTCCAACATCCGCAACACTTGCAGCCTTGAAAAACCACAAATTAGTTTTTCAGGGATTGTCTCAAGACACACGGTTCTCTCCAAGTTCAAACATTTCAACTTTGATAAGCTACTCAACTCCATCGGCAACTCTCTTATACAAGTACGACTGATATCGAGACACTGCAAGGAAACTAAATTTGAAATCCCCACTGGTAATTCTGTTAAATCCTGATTGTTTGACAAGTTCAAAACTGTTAGACTGACCATATTTTGGAAAAAGTCCTTGCCTAACCTCATTGATTGCAAATCATTATTTTCAAGAAATAAGGTTAGGAGATCAGGACAATCAGGTGTTCCTCTTAGACTCTGAATCTTATTGTTCATCAATGACAATCTTTTTATCAACCCCCAGTTTTCAATCTCTGGTGCTTCAGTTAATTGGGCACTAGTTTCCACTATATATTTTTCCTTTTCAATTTCACTTGCTATCCACAAAGCCATGTCACGAATCACATCATGCATCTTCACCTCGTCATCATCAACTTCTTCTAATAAACATAAGCCAAGAAGAGTACAAATTATGTCATGGCCTTCATTCCGATCACAAATACTGTCATACTCATCTAGAAATCCTTCTGCAATCCAATAGTCTATGAGCTCACATTTTCTTATCAGAAAATCTTCTGGAAACAAGGCGCAATATAAGAAGCATGATTTAAGCTTGTCATCAGGCAAACTGTCATAACTGAATTTCAAAAGTGGATACACCTCTTTCCTCATACCTGGAAGTTCATGATTAGCAACTGACCTCCTTAGAACCCGTCTTGCATATTCCCATTGTACAGGTGTCTTCTTGGATGACATAGCCCGATCTATGGTGATGAGGGCAAGAGGCAGACCCTTGCACTCTTCTGCCACTGCCTTTGCTAGTCCACAGATTTGTGGGTGGCTATCAAAGGTTTCTTCTCCAACTTTTATTTGGAACAATTCCCAGGCTTTCTCTGGCGCCAAACAGTCTACCATAATCTTCTTATGAGCTTCCATTTGACCACACACATCAAGAGAACGAGTAGTAAAGATAAGCTTGGAACCATTTCCCTGTCCTGGAATAGGTATCCCAACTTTAACTAAATCAACTCGTTCCCACATGTCATCCAAAAGCAACACAAATTTCTTTTTACTCAACACTGCAAGGATGTCAGTAGCTTTTTCATCACAACTTTTTTGTTTCCATATTTCATCACCATAACCAATCTTTCTTCCAATCTCATCTTGAACTTTCTCGACAGTGTGATTTTTAGATACAGTTGTCCAAATCACAATATCAAAATTATTTCTTCTCTGTTGCAGCTCATTGTTGATTTGAATTAAGAGAGTTGTCTTCCCGACTCCGCCCATGCCATAGAGGCCAATGATGTTGCTGCCTTCATCAGTAAGGCATGTCCAAACCTTGTCAAATGTCGATTCCTAACCCACTGTAGGCTCACTGGGTCTTACAACTACTGAAGCAGCTGGGCACCTCTCAGCAACGTCAAGAAAATCTCCTTCGGTTCTTAGATTAGCCACATCTCTAGTCTTTTGTACTACTTTTTTCCCAAACTTGTAGCTTGAACAGCAGCTCTTGGAAAAGTAACCTCCAAGGCACAAATTATTAATTTGTGCAGGAGAATCTTCTATTATCTGCTCAACTTCTTTTATCTCTTTCTCCACTCTTTCAAGCCATCCTTCTACCTTTTTAAGGGGCTCCATGAGCTGCTCCTTCGCAAGAAGAACCCTCCTATACACGTCATCTCTTTGCTCTGTCAATCTTTTTGCCTCAGCCTCCAAAGCTTGAAGATTTTGTTCAAGCTTACAAATGTATCGTGCTTGTCCAGCAACACAGTCCCAGCATGGACTAACAGCTTGATCTACCGAGATGGAGAAAGAGAGACAGTTAGCCATGGTTTGCTCAATAGTTGATTGAGGGAGCTTCAAACAAAGTTTTTTTCTTCTGAAAAAAGTGAGGATTAACTATATAAGATAAAATTTATAAGATAAGATATGACTGAATTAGATATAATAAAATATATTACAATTTAACGATATGTTTGGATGATGATGGGATTATATTGGATTTGATATAACAAAAATGCTCTTAAATTACAATCAAACCAATACTGCTAATTTTCTATTTTAAGTTGTTTTTTAATAGTTAAGTTATGGATTAGTATTAATAAAATTCGTTACCATTACTCAATTGAACATAACTACAACAAAATCCTGATTACGCGGCTTTTAATTATCATCAAAAATTTCCATCATTTTCTTAGAAACCAAACAGACAAGCCACCAAAGCATTCAAACAAACCCAGTTCAGATGCATTTTCAAGTAAACTAAAATTTGGATGAAAAATATGTCCATTTAAATGAAAATTCTGCCAAAAATAGATTAGTTGTTTGCTTGCTAGGAATTTAAAGAAAATTAACAATAAAAAAAGGGCTCCATTTAAATGAAAATTCAGCCCAAAAAAATATCGAAGGAAATGAAATACAGGATGAGCAAAACTCATCAATACACTCACCGTCTCCTTTCCTCCCTTGTCCTTCACCTAGAACTCCACCACCGACCTTCACCTACATCACTAGAACTAGATTTAAGAAGTCTTGATCTTTTCCAGTGAAATCTCATCGGAGATTTGGAGTTTCAGACTATCATTTCATTCTCCGATATCAACCACAAACCCAGATGAAATTGAATCGTTTTTCTGGCGAAGTTTTTTGATTCCTAACACTGCTGTCATCTTCGGTTCATCTTTGATAGCTGATCTGTGAGGATCAACACAGTGTGCTGGGATACCGTCTCAAAGTTAAACAAAGATTGGAGTGAACAGGGAAGATCACAGAAGAGGAAAAAAATCGAGAGGAACACGAGGGGAAAATAGGAAAAAGAAATTTTATCCCACTTACTCCATTGGGAGGTGGGTTACATTTTATTTGATGACCATAGGATAAAGGATTGGATGGATGGTATCCGATCTCCTAGTTCTATCAAACATCTGACACAGACACAGAGGAATGAGTCAAATTTTTTTGTCCCACCCCATGATTTGTCCGGCTCTCAGACGTGCTCTAATTGAAAGAAATCAAGGAGCATCTGATTCATAAGAATATTCCCGTTAATCTTTAATTAGTTTTATGCTCTACTTTGTAAGTGAAAGTAAAAATTTTAACTGATAAAAAGGCATATGTCTGATGTCTCTCTAAATTAGAGGTGGCCACTGCCAATTTTCCTTTGACAGTATCACTTATTTCTTTTAAAATATTTAATTAGTATCAGATTTTGTCTTGGAAAAATCAAAGATAATGAAACTATATGTTTGTTGTGTGATGGTGTTGAGGAAACTAGATAGCATTTATTCTTCGTATGCCCTTATAGTAACCAGGTTTAGCAGAGGGTCTTGAATGCTTGCAGCATGGTACGGCTGCCTGGGAGTTGGTCCGTGGATTGGCATTGGTATGTAGGCAGAAATGCAAGAGGGAAGCTGTTAAGAACTGCCTTTGCTGCATCAATTTATTGCATCTTGGTGGAACGAAACAGAAGGGTATTTGCCGAAGAAAGTTCTTCTGCGAATGCTATAAACTGATCGAATTTTGCAGCATATTAGACTAATATCCTAGTGACTTAGAAGTGAAAAACAACAGCTTTGTTTTGATTTCTTAATTTTGAGATTGTATGGCACAGGTATGTCTGGGAATGGATTGTAAGTGTCCAATCTGGGATTTGGATTTATACAACCAGACTTGTCCTTGTCCCCAAAAACAGAAAAAAAAATCAATGCATAATCCCTTCTGTACACAACAAGTTCTCTCATGATCTTTACTTTATTCCCTAGTTCAATTCTCTATTACTTTTTTTAATTACTTTATTCTTTAGTTTATGACTCTTTCTTTTCAATTTATTTAATATTTTTATTTGTACGTTTTCTCTAATTTATCATGGCATCTATAATTGAGATTCTCCTAAAATGAATATATAACAAATATCTAGTCACCCCCATTAAACATAAATTAGCATGTACTGTATTTTACTGTTAAAAATACGATCGAGAGACAAGTTTCTTCCGTTTGAATTATAAAAACATTAGACTAGGCAATCACAACCATTGAATATGAATGTGAGTCATATCAGTGGCCGTGGTTCAAAATGACATCAATTTTTCAGTGCGAATTGAAACCCGGATCAAAGGAGAAACTTGATACTTAATTTATCATTCACCATAACTTCTTTACTTATGTGTTAGCATTTGTTATGAAAAACGTGTTTCCTTTAATTTGTTCTACAGAGACGGTAAAACACTAACTTCAGACCAAAACAATAAAAAAAAAAGTATTTTTTAAAATTGATCTTGTACAAACTGCAAAGTACTAGTTTTAGGACAAAACAACAACCAGCCTCTATTCTTTGCATTGAAAACCAAGTTCAAACTTGGCACCATACATCAATCGATAAAGACAATTTCTAACCAATCCCATAGTAGTGTTAGTGTTAATTTAATTTCTTCGCTTTCGAAAATATTTTTTCTTTATATTGAGAATAGTTTAAATTTTTATTTAAATTCTGTTTTTAAAACCTAAAGATAAATAAAAAATTTTGATAATAAGTTAAATAATTAATGCTAAAATAATCCTTTGGGATTGGAAGGAGTCATTCAAACCGCATTGGAAATGAGGGTTTGAATCAAAGTTGTCAATACCGTACCGGTATGCGTACCGGTTTTGCTACTGGAACGGTACGTACCGGATGCCGGAATTTTTCGTGTACTGTTTCGGATTTATCGTTATAAATATATATTTTTATAAATTAAATATCAAATTTTAAAATAA